TCACCTTGCTCGAGAAAGACACCCTGACTTATTTGCATCCTGAGAAATTCGTTACCCGACGTTTTGAACTTGCACAGAAGAAGCCTTTGAAGCAGTTGGCCCTCGACAACGACTCTCTGACAGTCAAAGAAAAGCCAACTGATCACACGTGTGCCACGCGCACGGAGCTGGAACTTGTTCAAGCTTTTAGGCGCCGCGCCCTGGCCTTTGACTTGATAGGCCTAGTTCCTTATGAAGTCATGAATGCTTATCATGCCGAACTGTTGAGTCACCTGCAAGAAGATGCACCTCCGGGGTACTCCAACACGACGGTGACCCAAGTGTTACGTGCAGACAGGGCGGCATTCCTTCATTTGGCAGATATCCTCACCAGCTTGAAGAGGGATGCCAATGGCGATCTTCCTCTAGAGATCGAATTGCCCAGGGTCATAGTTCGACCAAGCGTCAGCTTCCACTTGTTGCCATTGGCCACAGTCACTCCAATGGCTCCACCAACTCCAAAGCCTCAGCCGCTGAACCCTGTGAGCAACAAGCGTAAGCGTGAGGAGCCTCCTCAACCCTCACCAAGACGAGGCGCCCATGGGCGCAAAGGCAAAGGCAAGGGAAAAACAAAATCCAAGAAGGGTAGAGGACCCAATGTCCCAAAAGAGCTAGTGGGCAAATCCTTAGAGACAGCCGATGGCCGTCGAATCTGTTGGCCATATAATCTAGCCACCGGGTGCACAGATACACACCCAGGTGGCCAATGCAGCAGAGGTGTTCACGTTTGCGCAGAACCTGGCTGCGGGAAGACCCACAGCCTCCAAGCCCATTCATGACTCTCTGAGGCGAATGCCTCACCATTTGCATCTTTCGAAGCAAAGCTGTTAGCCAAATGTTCAGGCAAGACCTCACATGAGCTTTTTGGAATTGAAATTTTTGCAGGAACGAGCCGTCTCACAGCATCCCTGCGGCATTTGGGCTTCCGAGACTCATTTGGAGTCGACCATGTGGTATCTAACCACCTTGCCGCCCCAGTTTTACAGCTTGACCTTCTGAAACCAGAATGTCTCAAATTTGTGCAACGAATCATCCAAGAAGACGCTTGTATATATGTCCACTTCGCTCCACCATGTGGCACAGCAAGCCGAGCCAGATTCATTCGTCGAAAAGGACGATACAACCCTCCGGTGCTCAGAACAAAGCCTTTCAGAAAATTCCTCAAAGAAGTGCCTCATTATGCAACATATTTCCACCATTGCATGTACGGGTCGTCACGCAGGAAACATACTTGTTTGATACACAATGTCAAGACAGTTTGCCAAATGCAACTCCTATGTGACAACCAACATGCACACGAACCTTGGGGACATACTGGCAATGGATGGGCAACAGCGCAAGAAACTGCTTACCCTTGGCCAATGAGCAGGCGTTTGGCAGCGCTTATAGCGTTGCACTTGCAAAACCTTGGTGTTCGGTGTCCTACTCCAAGCTGTGCTCATCAAGCAAACCAGCTTGATGCCATCAGACACCACACCCATACTCAAACGTCCACAGCAGGCTTGCCTTGGGTGAGTGAATTTTCGCACACGGTGCAATTGCCCATTGACACTCCAGTTCCAGCCAATGCCAGGGTGATCTCCACTCCTACTTTGGGGGACATCGCAAGTGAAGGATATAAGACAGTAGGCGTGCATCGTAGCCCTGACGAATTTGTCCAGGCAGCAATTGATGCGGGGCACCCAGGAATTGATGTCGACCAGTTGCCCAAGCCGATGAGAGAAGCAGTCATTTTCAACACAGAACACTCTGCTAAAGCGGTTGCACAACACAGATCAGAAGCTCTGAGGAAAATGATCTACCAGTCTCAGCAACTAGCTACGCGAGAGACACAGTTGAAAGACGGCATGTCCAAACGGAGACAGGAAGTTTTGAAAAGCAAAAGGCTGTTGCTGTTCAAGGATCTGCTTCTAGAGGCAAAATCGGACGATGTGAACCTGGTTGACGATGTATGTCAGGGCTTTGACCTGACTGGTAAGCTTCCTGCCTCTAATCATTTCAACCACAAGTATCGACCGGCTGCTCTCCCTACCGAAGCCTTGCGAGGTGTTGCTGACAGAGCAAGGGAAGCCCTTCTGACCAGTGTGAAGACCTCTGGCGACTCCGCAATAGACGATGGTGTGCTACGAGCGACCCTGAAGGAGCGCGACTTGGGACTCTTAGTAGGGCCCATTGATGCTTCGACCCTACCTCGAGGAGCCACTCTGACGAGGCGGTTCGGGGTGATGCAGAAAGACAAGGTGCGCCCGATCGATGATTACAAGGCGAGCCTCGTAAACTCTGCAGTGACACAAGTGGAAGTAGTCACTTTGCATGGCATCGACCACATCGCGAGCCTGGGAGCTGCGTTGTTGAAAGCTGCAAAAGGGTCAACTAGCAAGATGAACTTGGTGGCTAAGTGTTGGGACCTAGCCTCCGCTTATAAGCAAATTCCCTTGTCAGACAGTGCCTACGAGTCAGACTCCTACATCGTGATTTTCAACCCCATCACGAAGAAACCAGAAGTTTATAAACAGGCCGTGTTGCCCTTCGGTTCCATCGCGTCTGTCACAGCCTTTCTCCGATGCGCTATGGGCATATGGCATGTAGGTAGCTGTCTGCTTAAATTTACGTGGACGTCCTACTTCGACGATTTTCTGAGTCTGTCGCCCATGTGCTTGGATAGGCATACTGAATTGTGCGTGTCGACGTTTTTCCAGCTTTTGGGATGGAACCTTTCAGAGGACAAATTGGTCCCGTACAACCAGTGTTGCAAAGTGCTAGGTGTGGAAGTGGACCTCCTTCACAGTCCGTCAGGCCGCTTTGAGGTGAAGAATACGGAATCCAGAAAGGAGGAGCTCATATGCATCATGAAAGACATTTTGTCGCGCATGATCCTCACAAAAGCCGAAGGGGAACGTTTGAGAGGAAGACTTCAATTTGCCTCGAACCAGATTTTTGGGCGACGGTTCAGGAACTGTCTCAAAGAGCTCAACATGCATGTCAGCAGAGGGTTTAAGATGGTTTCCCCAGAGCTTGCAGAAGCCCTGAACCTGATGATCGCCCTTCTCCATGAGAACGTCCCCAGGCCGATTGACTCAAACTTTTCCGATTGGGTACACATCTATGTAGATGCTGCTTATGAGCCATCTGGGTTTTCTGGGGTTGGAGGTATGGTCCTCAATTCTCAAGGAAAGTGCCTTGGTTATTTCAGCGAAGAAGTTCAATGTGATCTGATTTCAAAGATCAAGCGCGAAGATCAAGAGACTGTGATCTTCGAGTTGGAAGGACTCGCTATTGCAGTGGCTTTGCATGTTTTCTCAGAGCACATCAAAGGCAGAAGAGTGGTGGTTTTCACAGACAACAAAAGTGCGCAATCTTGTCTGATAAAGTGCAAATCAGACAACGCTCACATGAATCTCATAATAAGGCACATATGTTCCACTGAGGAACGCCTCGGGCTGATGACATGGGTAGAACGTGTCCCTTCTCAATCAAACCCAGCAGACGAGCTCTCGAGAAAGTCCATCAGCATGTATCGTGGTATTTCGACTACCAGAGTCGATCTTGTCGAAATCTGGAGAGAATGTGTGGCAGAAAATTTAACAAGCTTGTCTCAGACTTAGGGGAGAGCGCGAGACAATGTGAAGCGTGATTCCCCATGGTCAAAAAGAAAGAAGTGCGCGAGTTGCCGAAGTTTTCTGAAGTGACATGTTCTTGAGACAATCCAAGTAAGAAATAAAATGGAACTCAACTCGTTGATGTAATGTTATTTCGGACGGGATTGGTGATGTTGCCTTTAGATGGAAAGGCAACAGAACATGTCATGTCTACACAAGGGCAACTAATGGGCACTTGTTTCATGTTTATACCACATCAGAAAGGGCTCAAGTGAGCCCCAAACACCGTTCCTTCCTTTTTCGTCCCAGCCCAGACGTTGTCTGTCCCGCCCCAAGTTCATGCCCAAGTCATGTGATTTGGCTTCAGAGGACAAGTGTCCTAACCGTACCTTTTATATCGAGCCGTGCCAACGTTTTCATTCCAAACTTTGTTGGCACCACTGCTGTTGGTTGAATGCTTACAAGCACGCCTTCAAGATTCAATCGATGTGATCACCAATGTTCTTGATGATACTCCTTCCGAACATCAACCTGTTCGCCTAGCCATCATCGATGCGCTCAGCGGGTTAGAGACGGCCACACATCAGCTGCGATTCACTCGCCTGGTTCTTCTGTTGGACTTCCAACAACGTCTCCAACGACACCTTCAAGCCCACAACTCGTTGCCAGCGATTGAAGACATCGATGATAGCTCGGATTCGCAGCCGTGACTCTGACGGCCTAACCCCACCGTCCGAGCGCGAGACAATGTGAAGCGTGATTCCCCATGGTCAAAAAGAAAGAAGTGCGCGAGTTGCCGAAGTTTTCTGAAGTGACATGTTCTTGAGACAATCCAAGTAATAAATAAATATATATATAATAATTATTATATATTTATTATAGCCCGGAGCGTGGCAAGTATTTGTTCCCAAAAAATCACAGCGCGCATCGTCCCTTGCATTTCTGTTTTGCTTATGCAATTGTGGGCAAGTGAATGTCTATCCGTCTTGTTTTGCGTATGATGGTATGTGTGTACATGTCAGAGGTTGGTTGAACCGATTTTTGTCCCATACCCTGCCAAAACACTTGCTCCTCACCGTCACGCAACAACCACCTCCACCTGATCTGTTTGAATTGCGAAGTTTGAGGTCAAGTCTAATTTTTAAGCCGATAGCTGCTGCCAGAGGAAGCCGCTTTCTTTTTGTTTTTTTGATGCATAGGCCAAAACTGTGGAGCGCGGCAAGTTTCCCCTCCATGCGTACAGTGTAGGGCACCCCATGTTTGTTTCTCCGTGCATCTATGCATGTGATCACACATAGCATGTAAATGTTGTAGACAACCTGCTCTGGGCACTTTGTATGTCTCGAGTCGCTTTTGATGCAGGAATTCTTCAACCCTCTACCTGGTGGTGCTAGCAAGCAACACCTTCTTCAATGACAGTCACTGCATTTGCTACGGTTGCTTTTTTGGTTGTGCATTTGAAACAAGGCTTTCATTAAGATATCACGCAGGACCTAAACGTCAAGCTTGCTTCCCAGACGACTGCAAGTTCCGTGTGCCTGGCATGTGATTTTTCAATTTTTCCAGGTCACGACCAGGACATATTGCGAGCGTTTCCTGTTTCAGGCAGCTGAAACGGAACTGGTTGAAAAGTACCGGCGCTTGCTGAAAGAGGCAGAATGATTGAGAGTTTGTCTACCTGAGGCACCCTGTGATTTCTTGGCAACACTGGGTAGAAGCTTTGCGTGCAGGAGGGCATCGACAAACTGAACGAGCTGAATGTCGTTGTGGCAACAGACCGCCACTCGTTTGGAAGTTCTTAGTGCTTTGATGCTTTTGCAGAAAGGGTGGTTCTGGATGTGGAGTTTCAGGTGTTTGCCGACAAGGGCAGTATGGAGCATGCAAAGAGGCTGGGTTCAGATTCCAGGCTCCATTGTTCTAAAAGAGACCACATGAAGAACTGTTTTTAAGTTTGAAGTTGAGTTGCCAATGGGCTTTGGCGGTTCTCTTCTTGCCACTTAGCCGGTTGGGGATGGGAGGCTGGGTGCCGGGGTTGTCCCAGTGGTACAACCGTGGCGCCAGGTGCAAAGTCCTTATCTTCATGCTTCGGGTCTGCTTGGTCAAGCACAAGACCCTTGTTTGCACGGTTGTTTGGGACCACAAGACTCTAAGTTCTGTGCTATATGATCAACAGTGGTACACTTGTTCACTCTATGACTTCCTAAGGCCCTGGGGACTTTGAGCGCTGAGCTTTTGGACCTTCTGGACAGAAGCAGTCCGGTCACCAAAAAACTTGCCTCAACACCCTGCCACAGCAGAGAGCATAGAAAGCTTCATTGCCCAGGTGACAGAGATGTGGATCTCAATTCCTTGCTTCGAGAATACGCATCGCAGAGCTTGGAGGCAAGTTTCTAAAACGCAGCCGAGCAGCTGGAAATGGGTGGCACTCAAAACAAAATCTTGCCCTATTTGTCAAGCACAGAAACTGAGAGTAGAATTCAAACATACAAATTCAGCAAAGCAAGAACAATTTGACTGCCACTTTCACGAGTGCAGAAACATCGAATCAAATCTGTGTTATGTGTGAGGTTCGACTGGTTCCAGACCGTCGACAACTGATTTTTGGTAGCCTGACAGAGGCAGGTTTGATGCTCTCGAGGCCAAGTAAGGTCAGTGGGTTTTACTATTGGCCAGCAATTGCTAAGGAGACACAAGAATCACTCAGTTAAAATTTCCTTAAATTGCCATTTAATAGGGAGGTGTTATTTTCCAGTCGTTTCCTGGAAGGTCATTCCTGGTCATTGTGTGTTGAGCTTAGATCTGACGGATTGGTTTGAGCTTAGATCTGACGGATTGGTCTCCAGAAGTTTGGTGCAGCCGAGGCTGAAGCTGCTGAAAGGGGGAATTGGTGTGAACTGATCTTAGCATCGCTGCGATCCAACGGGTGCACAGCCAAACCAACGGATCCGCTTCGGATCCGCTTTGCTTCGAGGTTGCATCCAGTCCGTCCCGATTCTCAGCCGGAAATGGATCCAACCGGACCTGCCTCCGATCAGACCTCACTGTTAAAGCATTGCAAAATTTGCAAAGTACACTTCAAGACCTTACCGAGGTGTTGCCCCATCAGCAACAACATCCACTTCCTGCATGAGGATAGTTTTGTTTGGTCATTTAAATGTGTGGTTTAGTGACTTAGTGTTGATTTGATCAGTGACATACATAGAGCGAGGGTCCAAGAGTGCTGAACGCACAGTCTGTATTGTGGCACCCCATTACCCCTCCTTTTTCGCGCGGAAAACATATTTTTTGTCTCAAGGGCGAATTTGAGCTCCCGCTCAAATGTTTGACGCAAGTGTTGAAAGTGGTCAGGCGTTCTATGGCAGATACTCAGTGGAAGAGTGTACGATGGTCAGGAAGGAGGACTGCCTTGTGTCTTCAAGCCTAAGTGGTTTAGATGATTGTTGGCTTCTGATGATGCAAAGCCATCGCAGCGAATATGGCAGGGTCTCCAAAAGCCAGTGCTGTGGTCTGGCGACGGCATCGCGAAATGGATGTACGAGTGCTGTTGTGTGAAGCCATGTGAAGCGATTTACGCTTGTATTGGGGCATGCATCATGATATCGTGGTGTGAAGGTACTTGCTTGCCCTCGATACACTGGCGATGTTTGATTCTCGGTGTAGCAAGGGCAAAATCACTTGGCTTTTCACCGAAAGGAAGACGTGGAAAGCAACGACAGTCCTGGCCACCTTGCTCCACAACCTCCAGGTCATGTCAAGCAGTGGCTCGGCTGGTCCTGCGCAGCCATCCGAGCAATTTGCTGGAGAACCTTTTTGACAACTTTGAGGCATGGATGGTATGGGCCTTTGGGCCTTTGAGGTCCCAAGATGAGAACTGATACCTTACCTCGTACTTGAGTTGGACTCGCAACGTAATCCCACATTCCTCGTGTGCAGCAAATGTGTTTCAAGAGCTGAAAGTCAAGATGAAAACCGAAAAATGAAATGGGATAGAAAAAAAAGCAGCATGTCAACTGACAGTAGTAGTTAATCTCTTGATCTTTAGGATATTCACCTGGCCCATCTCCAACTGATTCTACCAGAGCTACCTGTGGTAGGCAACGCAATATCCTGGATCTGTAGCTCCGAGAGCAAAAAGATGCAGTTGTGCGCAGAATATTTCACCCAATTTAAGTTCAGGTTTTATATATATATAAGTTATATATGTTTGGCATGTTTGGATGCGATTGGGCAGAATTGCGGTTCAAGCGCATGAGGCCTGTTCTTGCCTCGGTGGCGTCGGGTAGTGTCACCGGTGCCCTGCTGACTCTTGCGAAGGAGATCTCGAGCCCCAACTTCCTGTTGCCACCTGCTCCGACCACTGCTGAGGTCTGCTCTCTCCTTCCTCCACTCCCGCAGTCTTGGACTTTGGATTGGACTTCCTTCTGCATCGGCCTCCTTCTTGGCTGCCTCTTCCTTCCTCTTTTGGACTTGCTGCTTATCCTGAGGTTGGCTTGGATCAGGGCTCTGAGGAACACCATACCCAATAGGCCCCTTGGTCCTCTCCACAGAGTCGTTGCATGAGTCAAAGTTCTCTCTCAATTTCCTCCCTTGCTGCTCAGTTGCGATCTCTCACTTTGCGTGTGGCCAGTCTAGAAGAAAGAGCTGCTCAGACTGACCGTAGAGTTGCCACTGTGGAAGAGGGGGTGCGAGAAGAAGGCAACGGTGGTTTTGATTTGATCACAGAAGCTAGTTCTTCGGAAAGGACCAGCCCAGTTGCAAGAAACCAGACAGCTGCTTCAGCAGCGGACACTGAGGTTCTTGGCTCGGACAGCCGAGGACGCAGACTTTTAGCTGAGGAGATTGGAAGGTTTCTGAGGAGAGCGGTTGAGGGTGAGCATCGAGGCAGTTCAGGTAGGGACAGACTGAAGCTTCAGAATCGGATTTACGTGGTTGTGGCCGGCTTTGACGGCATCCCTTTAGCCGAGCCTAGAGTGGAGAGCAGTTTTGCGGTTGTCCGAGGCATTTGCAAGAGAGGGCCTGACTGCGGAAGCTCGATTTTTGTGGGCTTTGCAACAAAGTGGGAGGCGAAGATTGCTTTGGAGACGGGACGCTTTTTTGTCCCCTCCTCTTTGAGAAATGCCTGAGATTCCGGGCGTGCCTGAGGAGGTTGCTCAGGCGCTCTTGGTCCAAGAGGACGGCAGTGCGGCAGAAGACTATAAAGTGGTGAGTTTAAGCTTCACTTCTGAGGCTGGGGCTGATAAGGTGATCAACCTCATTGCCATCACGGTCATTGACGACCGTCTTTTGGTGGCTGTTCCTGCGGGGGCTTGGCACAAGACAGGTGCTCGACGCCTTCTCCCTCGCAACGGCCTGACAAAGACCGTGAAGGTCGAAGTTTTGCCAGCTAGCACAGAGGAGCCAGAAGTTTGTCTGGCTGAGGCCCCTCTGAAACTATGGGTGGGGCTTTTGGATCGCAGCCTCTACGGAGGGTTGGAGGCAGGAGCCAGTCCGTTGGCAGATGCCGACATCACCGTCCTGTCAGCAGACGGGAGCGTGGAATTGATTCCATACGGTCCGGGGTTGACGGAGGTGGCGGACCAACATTTCCTGTTCCTGTCAGCTATTTCAGGCGCAGCAGAAGAAGCGGAGGATGCAGAGGACGTTGGCCCAGAGGGGGGAGAGCTCCCTTTGGGAGACAGGATGAAGTATATAGAAGATGCTATAAGCCAGATGCAGGCGAGTCTGGCCCGGCTGGCTCCTCAAGACCAGAGCCGTCGCACAAGAGAAGGAGTCAGAAAGGGACCAGATGCTGCTCGCGGAGTTTTGCCCGCTGGCTCGAAGAAAGACAGCGGTTTGAAGCGAGAGCATCTCCCTGGCTTGGATCCTGCTGTGCTCACCTCGGCTCGAGAAGCTGGGATTCCGGAGGAGCAGTTGAGGACTCTTTCAAAGTTGGTAGCGAAGTCTTCCACTATGCAGGATGCTCCTTCAATGCCCAGAAAGCCCGCTCTGCGGAAGAACCCGCTCAGCGAAACAGAGGAGGAGGGACCAGAGGACGTAGAAAGCGAGGAGGATGCGGCTTCAGAAGAAGAAGGAGCGGCGCCTATAGAGAAGGCAGTTTTGCAGCTCACTCGGATAGTGGGCGACCTAGCCAAGTCCAAAGACAAGAAAAGCCGAGATGTCGAAGCTTTGCTGGATGGTGTCGATGGAGACGCCGCCGATCCTTCGCACTCCAGCGGCGGCAAGTCGAAAGCAGCTGTGTACAAAAAGATGAAGTCTTGCTTGCGGGACAACCCGAAGTATCTGTATGCCACGGTGATGGAGCTGATGGAGCAGGATTTCCACGTGCTTCGCACGGCCCCCGGGAGTTCCAGCCAAGCAACGAGTTGGCGAGCTTGGATAGAGCATCGAAGCCCCGACAACCATACGCTTTTGCTGGATTCTTGGAGGAGTTCTGGACGCTCTGCAAGCTGGAGCTGTGGCGGAAGCTCAAGCTCGAGCGGCATTGGGCATCCTGGCGGCGGACCAAGCTGCTTTGGACAACGGCAGTTGGGTGATGGCACAGGAGGCGCTCTTGGAGGAAGCTCCTCCCATGTCCTCCTTCAAGGGAAAGGAGCGACCAGAGCAATGGGAACAGACAGCCAGCAAGCTGATGGACGAGAGATGGCTGGATGTTTTGATGTGGAGATTGAAGAACCGAGACTCCTACTTGGAATCTCGCAAGAGGTTGGGGCCCAGCAGCAAGAAGGAGTGGCATCCCGGGAACGACAAGGAGAAGGAGGCGGGCACAAAGACAAAGAAGCCAGGGGGAGGAAAAGGCGATCGCAAAGGGAGCGGCGAGAAAGGGAGCCACGGCAAAGGGAGCGAAGCCTCCCAGCAGCAGGCCCAAGCTTGAGGAGCACAGAAGGCCATTTTGGCCGAAAAGCACCCGGAGAAGGTGCTAGCACAGTGCATGGCTGTACAATTTGGAATTCACTTTTTGACTTTATTTGCTCTTCCAGGTCTCGCTTCAGTCAGATCTGGTTTTCTCAACGAGCTGGCCGCGCTCTGAGGAGAGCGCCTGAAGGCACGGTGTGGCCCATGCCCCTGCCTTTTCCTGAGTTGCACCTTCCGCGAGGGAACCGCAACCAGAAGGACGCCAACAGAAAGTTGGGTCTCAATTTTACAGTTTTGGCTCTCAATGCTTTGCGTTTTGAGGAGAAGAAAGCCAACGCCGTCATGCCTGGCCTTGGCACAAAGTTGAATAGCAGTCAGTGGCGAGTCGTCAAGCTGTTGACCTTCCACATTGACACCTGGAATGACTGCTCTCCAGTCGGCCCTGAGCAAATGGGCCGAGCGGCTGCGAAAGTTGAAGCTGTGGAGGAAGTCTTGCAGAAGCTTTGGACTTTTGCTTCTTCGACTGAAGTTGGGCTCAGAAACTATGGCAAGGGATCAAAGTTTTGTTTTTCTGAAGACGAGGGTGGCAGAGAGAAAAGGATTTTGGGTGCCTCTTTTAGAAGCAAGTGCGTGGGTAGCATGCAGCACACTCAAGCTCCCCTTGCAAAGCAGGTGGAACCAGAGCGCCTCAAGTTTTGGAAGTCTCCATCCTTTGATCCCTCTCCTTTCCTCGATGATCACAACAGAGAAACCTTCCTTTTCCCTTTGGACTGCTCCGCTGTTGCAGATGTGGCGGAGCACCCAGCGCCCAGAGTCAGAGTGCACATCAGAAAGTGTAACGAAGTGAAGCTCCTTGAAACCCTGGATGCCTGCGAAAGACTTCAACTCCTACCTGAGAAAGATGTGAGGATGGCTTACAGAAATGGCATGTTTAGCATCCCTAAAGATGCTGCGAAGGACCGGATGGTGCTTGATGCAAGGCCTCCGAATGTTTTGGAGGATGGCAGAGACTCTCTTTGGATCCACAGCCTGGGCTCAGTTTCTCAGTTTACTCACCTTTTTCTCCAGCCGGATGAGGTTGCAAGAATGTTTTCTGAGGATATACGAGAGTTTTACCATGCCTTCTGCATTAGCCCTCAGCGCCTGCGGCGCAACGCACTGGCAATGGATGTGCGGCCGCAGCAGGTGTCGCACCTGCGATGCTTCCGGCCTTGGATGTGGAAGTTTGAGAAGCTGGTGCCTTGTTTGGGCACTATGGCCATGGGCGACTGCCGCGCCGTTACCTATGGTCAGACGGCTCACCTTAGCTGTCTGCTGAGGTCGCCCAAGCTTTCCCTCAGCGACTTCATCACACTGAAGGGCAGACCTTCCAGGAAACCTTTTGTGGCAGGGCTGATGATAGATGACTTTGTTTTGATAGAGAAGCGGAGAAAGTCAGACCTGCACCGAAGTGAGGTTTCTCAGCAACCTTTGCAAAGCTCGCCACAACATGCGAGCCTTCAGAGCAGTCCTTGCGAAGAGATCATACAAGAGGTCAGAGCTTTGTATGACAAGGTGGGCCTCCCACGACACCCCGACAAAGCAGTCAGCAATGCCGCTCAAGGCACGTTTTGGGGCATGGACTTTGACGGTGATGCGGGGGTCCTCCGACCTTGCTTGAAAAGGAGCGTGCCAGTGGGTTTCATCATCCTCGAGATGCTGAAGCTGGGAAAGACCTCAGTAGGGCTTTTAGAAGTTCTCGCTGGAAGTTTGGTTTCGATTTTTCAGTGTCGGAGAAGGTTTATGTCATGCTTGCAGTTTGTTTATGAGGAACAAAGAGGACGGAAGCGCTCAGACATTCTGACGATCTCGAGCGCTCTGGAGACGGAGTTGTTGCAGTGTGTTGCTCTCCTTCCTCTTGCCTGCATTGACATGCGCCTGCGCCCTTCTCCTCTCCTTATTGCCAGCGATGCTTCTCCCTGGGCCACTGCAGCAGTTTCCACACACCTTTCTCAAGCCAGTGTTGAGGAGTTTCAGAAGTATGGTTTACAGAAGGGCATGTGGAACAGATTGCTGAGCCCTGTAGGGGCCTACCTACGGGAAAAAGGGCTTCTGGAAGCACAGGAGGAGCTGCCGGAGAAACAAAGTTTTGACATGCACCCGCTTTGGGATGAGATAGTCGAGACAAAAGTTTTCTCTCAGTTTGGAAAAGTGAGCAGTAGAAAAGGGCGTCAGCACATCAACTTGGGCGAAGTCGATGCCGCTTTAGATGCGGAAGAGCTTCAGGGGAGAGAGGATCCCGGGTCTTACTATGTCCATTTGCAGGACTCTCAAGTCTCCCTTGCATGCTTGGTAAAGGGGAGATCCTCATCTGCAGCTATCAACAAGAAGCTGAGGAAGTCGATCCCCTCGCACGTAGCCAACAACAACCGTGCCTTTTACGGTTATGTGCGATCAAAGAAGAACCCTGCAGACGCTCCCACGCGATCCAGAAAAGTGCCGAGTCCTACAAGAGAGCCAGCGCCTTGGCTGGCCAGAGCAGAGGAGGGTTTTTTTGAAGATATGGAAGTTTTTCTGAGACAGCATGGAGTGGATTTGTTTTCTTTGCGTGAACTTCCAATGGAGGAGGACCTGATGGCACCTTGTGATGTGGATGTTAGGACATGCATGCAGAGGAAACGTGTGAGGAGGCAGAACAAGCGCAAGCACAGCAACAGAGCTGGAGAGACCAGCTCTTACCTCCACTCAAGCAAGGAGAGTCTTGCTGTCCCAGTGCCTGCTCCATCTCCCTGCACTCCTCCGTCTCAGCCCTCCAGGTGCCTCTCACCTGGGTCTTCTTCTCCATCCTTCGCCGTCCCCTTGCCTGAAGCGCACCCAAGAAAGGGTTTACCGGAGGAACTGAGAAATCTGTTGAAGCAGTTTGATGCGAGCCAGTTTGTCCTGTCGAAGGAATTTTCAACTCTGGAGGAAGCCTTTGACGCGGGGCCTGGAATTCTTGACCTCTTTGCTGGAAGCAGGGGTTTTTCAAAAGCTTGCGTCAGACATGCTGCTACTTGGACTTTGACTTTTGACCTCGCTCACTCTGAGTCTGAAAATCTCCTTTCCCCTTCCTTGCAAGAGCAGCTGCTGTTTTTGATTAGGTCGGGCGCGTTTTTAGCCATGGGAGCGGGGCCAGTTTGTGCTTCGTTCAGTCAAGCGGTGACTCCTGCATGCCGGACGAGAGAACATCCAGAAGGTGTTCCGTGGGCTTCAGAACTGCAGCAGTGCAAAAATAGGATGGGAAACGAGATGCTGGACTTTGTTTTGCAGTGTGTCAAGGCCTGTTTGAGTGCAGACGTAGTCTTTTGGGTCGAAAACCCGTTCCTTTCTAGGTTGTGGCGACAGCAGGGCCACCTAAGCTGGGACGAAGTGCTGGCTGACGCCAGAGTGGGCGATTTGGACCTGGATTACTGCCGCTTTGGGACTCCATGGCGAAAGAGGACGAAGTTTAGGACTTCGACCCATCTGCGAGGACAGAGATGCTTTTGTTTGGGAAACCATGAGCATGTAGCGTTACGTGGGCGGTGCAAAGAGAAGGGGCTGTCGTTTACAAAATTGGCCGAGCCCTACCCCAGGGGCGTGTGTGAGTGCCTGGCATGGGCAACTTTGGTTGACTGTGGTCTGCTGCCTGAGCGGAGAAAGGTTGATGTCAGTTCCTGCGCCCGCTCTTTTTCGAGGCGCATTGGAGAAGCTACAAACCCTGGTCCTGCAAGCTATGCAGCTGGCCGTCCAAACATATGGCTGGGCGACGTGGAGCTGCTCGAGCCTGCTACGATACTGCTTCGTAGCAAGATTTGGCGGCAGTTTTCATGCTGGTTTGAAAGAACTTTTGATGGTGCAGCACCGGTGGACTGGCTCAATGCTTCACCAGGCTTGTTTGTCCAGAGCCTAGTTGCTTACGGTCATTTTTGTTTTTCTGACGGAGTTGCACTCCATGTTTACCGTCAACTGCTTGCTCACGTGCAAAAGCTACACCCGCAGATAAAGGTTTTCATGACTCCAGCTTGGGAGACTGTTTCGAAGTGGGAGATGCAAGAGCCCAGCAAACACAGACCTCCTATGCCGGAACCAATTATGCTGGCAATGGTGAGCCTTGCTTTGGCCTGGAAGTGGGAGCGTTGGTCTGCGATCACTCTTGCCTGCTTTTACTCTGTTTCTCGCATTGGGGAACTCCTGAAGGTCAGACGTCGTGAGATCCTGACCCCTAGAGATCTGCTGCACAACGAACCAGTGATTTACATCAGGTTTCTTGCTCCAAAGAGCCGCAGACGCGGCGCCAAAGTACAGTATAGCACCATAGAAGAAGGGGCTGCAGTCGCTTTTCTTTGCAAAGTGTGGGATTGCCTGCACCCTGATGACTTGCTGTACTCTGGCTCTCAGGGCGCGTACCGAAGCCGATGGAATGCGTTGCTGGCTCGTTTGCAGATTTCTAGTCAGCATCAGCTGACACCTGGTGGACTTAGAGGTGGGGGAGCTGTTTGCCTTCACCGTAGGGGCTTGGCTCTGACTGAGTTGATGTGGAAGATGAGACTGCAGCATGCCCAGACTTTGGGGTATTACCTCCAAGAAACAGCAGCGTTGTCGCTTTTGCCTTCCCTTCCTCATAGAGTACGCCACCGAATACAAGTTCTCCAGGCCTGTTTCCCTCACTTTATCAAGTGATGCCCGCAGCGCCCAGCGCACCCAAATCTTTGATTTGTTTTTGCTGTAGGCCACGGAAGTGAGGTGGATGGCAGAGCCATCTGATGAATGGCAACGCGTTGCTGGCCGTGAAAGGCCTTACTACAGATGCCAGAACAGCTCGTTGAGAAAAGAGCTGCGGGAGCACAAGAGTGAGCCACACATGTTTGGCATGTTTGGATGCGATTGGGCAGAATTGCGGCCCTAACCCACCTCCCATGGCAGAGCCATCTGATGAATGGCAACGCGTTGCTGGCCGTGAAAGGCCTTACTACAGATGCCAGAACAGCTCGTTGAGAAAAGAGCTGCGGGAGCACAAGAGTGAGCCACACATATATATATAATATAGAATATATAGAATATATATATATAGAATATATATATATATATAAATAGGTATATATATATATATATACACATACGCAGATAGTCTGAATCTCTCTCTCTCTCTCTTTCTTTCTTTTGCTTGAACTTTGTTCAGTCTAGATTCTCCTTTCAAGTTTTTGATGACAACGACTTCCTGCACTTAGCAAGAATTGCAGAAGGCAGGATGTGTACCTAGCTTGCAATGTATGTTTCTGCCACAGTTTGCAAGTAGCTGAAGGCAAGCTTTGTTGTTTCTCGTTTCTTTGCTGCTTTGGCCTGCGACTGATGACATGGATCTTGGATAGCCACTGCATGCCGCAGCATGGGGTTGGAAGGGGCTGAACCAAAATAGGATTTTTGATATTTTTGGAAAAGGGTGGCTGCTAGCCACGTGGACAGGCCAGTCGCCGTCATTGTTTCTCATGCTTTCTGTTTTTTGCCTCTTTCAATCGGCATCGGTCGATTTCATTGTGAAGTCCAGGGCATGGCATTCTGGTTATCCCGCATTGCTCGCTCGGCCGGAATCTCAAACCTTGTCAAGCTATGTAGTGACCATGTCATATGACTGACTGATATGTAAAATCAGGGATCCAAGCCATGTAAAAAATGCCCAAACACCCAGGCCATTGCGCCTTTGGAGCGGAACATCAAGCCTGATGAGTTCATCTCCTTCAATGGTGGTGGACTGCCCTTCTATTTTCGTTCATTGACTGTGGTGTCCGCTGTGCCCGAGACGAGGGAAGCGCAGTTATGTTCTTTCAGGACTTCATGGAGCTTTCGAGATTCCAAACTACAGGCATGGAGCGTGGCAGACTGGGCTTGTGCCAATGTTTCACATACAAAGGGACAGACTCTCAATTACACACAATCACAAAAAGTACTGTAATGCGGCAACGTGTACAACACCCAGGGGAGCGACGGGTGAACAAATATTTTCCTGCGCCATTCCAACAGAAATGCAGAAATCCTTAGACCTAAGATGACCCAAGCTGTACACTTGCAGGCGAGCTCCATTCTGGAAGTACTTCTGGGCTCAACACTTTGTGACCCGACAACATGTCTTCAATGCAGGGACCCAAGAAGCTGAGCAAAACAGAGGAGTTTCAGCTTGCAGGTCTGAGTGCACTGACTGACCTGCAAGGTCCATCATACTGGGTATATCGTGCTCTGTGTGTTTTTTTGGTGGCCCGAGTCTCAGATTTGGCCAAATCCATCAAGATTTAGCACAATTAAATAGAATCGGTGTTTCCTTTGACGCCTGAAGGACCGGTGCTTTTTCAACAGCTCCCATGGAGCGAAGGGAGAAGTACTACATGCACTCACCAAAGTTTGGGCTCACAGAGTTTTGGAACACTGACAGCTGATTAATTTGCAGTATCTTGCTGTGTGTGATTCTTTGATTTTTCGTGAATAATATATGCATGGCAGTGGACAAACGGTGTTAGCTGTCATCGGTTTTGAGTCTTCTTTGCCCTAGTTTTTCATCTTCCTTTGTCTCGGGATTGTTTTTTATTGCTGTTTCGTTCTCTCAGGTTCCGACTTCAGACAGCATATGCGAATCCAGGCTAGCTATGCACATGAAGCAACAAAACCTCACAGTATGATGAAACTGCAGTTTAGACAGAGACTAGATGATGTGATGATTTGCATGGACTTGTGTACAATTGCACTACTGTGTGTAAGCAGATGTGTAGATGCACATGTATGCCGTGGAACAAGCCTTAGCGAGAGTTTGCAGAGCTTATCAAGGTACAAGGCCAGCCGCTAAGATCGCCCAGGAGCAGGCGAAGGCAGGGATTTGCAGCCTTGCAAGCGCTTGCAAGCACAGGAAGTCGAGCCTCATCTTTGAAGCATGTTCAGAGGTGCGATACTTTTACAGAGGGCACGACCATGCCTTCACTCTCAATGAGTTGAAAGCTCAGTTTAGAATCGCATTTGAAGCCTTCAGAACTCAGAACTTGTACAGACGATTTTTTTGTTTCGACCTGAGGATGAAAGATTTCTACTTCAAGCTGCGTGAGAACTGGCTCATTCAGTATTTCACTCAGATGTTTGGTTTCTTTAACGTGAAAAAACGAAAGCGGGTTTTTACTCGCCATCGCTCCAAGGCACTATCCTGGCATTCAGTATCCGTTCGTCCATCGTTGAATGCTTGGTTTGCTGAGACTTGCATTTTTACCAATCCTGGGCCATTTAAGTGCCACAAGCCTGATGATTCCTAGTTCTGTCGATGTGCAATGCCCTGCAGTCCTCACACTCAGGTCAGATGATTCCAGAGAAAACTGCTGATCCACTTAAGGCAACGCTTCCGTCAGCTTGAAACTGGGCCTGTTGGATGCTGCCGAAATAGCGAAATCGCGAAATGCCTTGGAAGGTGCCTATCTCGGATCCCCTCCTTCCAGGGCACGGACATTGAGTCCCTTGGAAACCAGTTCCAGGGACAGGTTCCACGGTTCCAAGAGACAACCGAGGTTGTTTTTGATGGAAGAATGCTCAACAAATAGCCTGGCTGACTATAAACTAGCCAGAATTTCAAGGGTCTGAAGAAATTACTTTCTTGCTAGGTTCGTGATTTGATAAGACTTGGAAGTGGAGTTGAAGAAAATGAACAATTTGTGGGCAGTTGGGAAGCTAGCTGAAGTGATGATCAAGGGGTACCTGGATTCTTGACTTTGCTATACTTTGTGCATTCTTTGCTCAGTTCAACATGAGGTAGATCTGAACGGACTGGGAGATTCTGCCCGACTGAGTGGTAGAAACTGGTAGAACCGCAAGGGCCAGCAAGCTGCTGCGCTGGCCCAGCATAGAAGGCTTCAGGAATATTCAGACGGTCAGCACTCTTGGACATTTTTTGTTTCAGCTGGTGCTCCGTACTTGATTGCAGTCCGATTCGGCTATAGTGGACATAAAAGGTGCAAAGCGATGCTTTCTCTGATTCTTAACCTGTTTTCAGTTTCTCGGATTGATGCTATTTTTTCTGGTTTCCAGCTTGCACATCCATCCTTGCCGCGCAGCAGTTTTGGTTTAGATTTTTAGACATTACAATTCGACATATATGAGCAAGCGCGTCCAGAAGTTTTCTTCCAGGGCACCCCCCTAATCTTTTTTACCTTACGTCAACTCATTTGCATGGATGTCATGCTATCAATAGTTAACACAAGAACACTCAAAGGGTTTGCTTTCGCCATGGCAAACCAGCTCAGGACATCTGGCTGTCTGACATGGATGCCCTTAAAATCCAATAGTGTATCATGGTTTATTAAAGTTTCTTATGATTTTCCCCCAATAAAGCGGCCATGCCAATTCATTGGCAGGAGCAGGTCTTTGAGATGCTCTCGTTTGCTGCGAACCTTGTTGGTTGGCGCCGCCCTGGACCGAGCTTGAAACCGGAAAAAAACGCAGCAGAATGCAAATCTGGGCCAAGGTTGTGCCATACGCTTTTAATGCCGTCCTTTTCACAGGCGGAGCTGGCCACGGGGTTTGGTTTGAGTACAGATTGCTCGAGTGTGGCATGAAATGCAACTTTGTGCTGTCACCACCACCGCCACCATCAGCCGTATCCGCATAATAAGCATCACAAGCATCACAAACACCATAAGCATCATCCGCATCATTTGCATCGTTTCAATTTTGAAACTTCCGCTCCGGGCTTGCCCGGGTACTACTTGTAACGCAACCTAAGCCAGGAGATACTGTAGAACTGGGACTCAACCGAAGGTGTACCAAGCCTCAACGGAAAGGCTATGCGGCTATACCCAGCCGGAGCAACGCAAGCAAAGCAAAAATCTGCGCAGAAACAATCTATAGGTGAAGCTAAAACTATCACAAGATGTATCACAAGAACATCCACAAAACAGACCGGCAGGCCGGCGGATTATTATTACTATTTTTGTTATTATTATCAGGATCATTATCAATTACAATTATTATTACTATTGTTATTACTATTTGTAATGATAATAATAATTATTGTTATTGAATCACCACCATTATCTTAATGATTTTCATGATCTCCATCATGGCCATCGCATCATGCAAAGTCTCTGCTACTATTTGTGTCATGATGTTTTGCACCATACTGAATTTTGCCGCTGACCTCTTCAAAATCACTGTTTGCAGTCTTGCTCTTCTTATCAGGGTGGTGTGCAGAGAATGAGTTTCCTCCTCTTTCTTGGTGTCGTCCCTTTGTCCCTTTGTCCTGCCACACCTTCCGCCTTGCGGCAGGTGGTTGCGCGCCGCACACTGTGTCACATGGCAAACATTTTTTTTTTTTGACGTGTCGCAAAATGAGAAAAAATGTGCCACAATAGCTGCAGACCGAGGCACAGAAGGACAAGGACTGTGGCACGAAATGCTGATCCTCCACAGGCACGCAGATGGCACGCAGATGCGACCTCAGAATTTTGCAAAGTGTTCAAAACGGTTCAACCCCGTTCAACCCCTCAATTCGCATGGCACTGTGCCGCAGGCACAGCCCGAGCTGCCACCATTCCAGCGTTTGTGCCCTTCTAAGTCTGCAGCATGCGCCAAACATGATACACTATCGGCGACGTTCTTATCTCTCTCTAATCTCTCTTGCATTTTGCAACATCGGCTCCTTTGATTCGTTTGCTCTTCAGCCTTCTACTTTCACCCTGTCGAGTCCGGATGACTACAACCCGGACAACTCGGACCCCTTGGATCGTGCCATTGAGTGCCTTGCCAAGATATCCCAATTCTTGGCATCACACTGCTTGGCATTCCTGGTAAAGTTCAAATGCTGAGAATGGCAAGGTGGTTCATGACACTCGACCCAGAGACGAATTCACGTTTGGAGACGGTCTTCACTCTAATCGTCGCTGACCCAGAACCAGGGTATGGCGCTGACCCAGAATGATCGGACGGGCGGATCAATATCTACGATGCCACCTTCTTCTGATTGGTGGTTTGCATTTTTCCTCCGTACTTGAAAATGATCCCAGTTGATCAATGTTTGGGTGGGATGGCCTGTTTTATGAATGGCAATTGTCAATCATTGTTAGAGGCAAAATGATGATTTTCAGCGGCTATGGATGTGTGAAGCCAGGGCAGTCAGGGTCCAAGCTAGGTCCTGGCCATCACGGTCATCAGCGCCAAGGCTTGGCTTGACGGTCAGTAATGCTTTGCAGATCCAGTATATTGATTGATATATTGATTATATGACTTATACATATATATATATATATGTATGTATGTGTGTATGTGCGTGTGTGAAAAATATCTTATATATATATTAAACATATATCATACATATAAACAATGGTATATATATAATATTTTATATATAATAATAATATCATATATATCTATATATATCACATACACATACGTTTGTGGATACAGCATCTTTTTATCCAAGCTCCTCTGATCCAGCTGTGAATTGCAGCCTCGAAAGGAGACCTACGAAAAGTGGCTCAGAGAGAAGACAGAGGAGCTACGTTTGGCAAGTGACATGTGTGGCATATTTGTGCGGGACATGCTGTAAGTATGAAATACACTTGTATGCTTGTTTTGCTTGATACCTTATTTTTCTGGCCTCTGCCTGGAATCTTGAGCTTTGGCTGTGTGGCGACGAGGAAGACAACTTGAGGAAACAAAAAATCAGAAGAGCTTTGAATCCGGATGGATGGAGGCCAGCAGTTGCAGTTTTTCAACTGAGACAACGATAGGCCCACGCTGGAACCCGGATTTGGATATATTTGAGGCTGAAACATGTGTATATAGTGAGATTAATTGTGGAGAGTATGGCACTTGTTGAGGTGGACAAGCTAAGCAGAGACCTTTTGGTCAAGTTTTGCTGCAGGGAGGAGCTTTTCAAAGAGGAGCAGGCAGAGAAGTTGAAGGAACAGCAGAAAGAGCAGAAGAGAGGTGTCAAGGCCCCCACTTGCGCAGTAAAAAGAGGTCATAAGGTCCCGTAAGTTCCACAGTTTCATATGTTCCATGTCTTTCTGGAAACTTGCGACAGGATGTCTTGGAGGAGATCTATGGTACAGATGGGTTAGAAGATCAGCTCCATCCTTGGAGTGAGTTGTCACTGCTTAGCCTGCTTATAAGGTCCCCTTTTTGAGCTGTGTGAGGTTTGATTCTCGCATCAGACCAGGCTTGGTGGAACTGGGATGTCAGCTTGTCACATTTGAACCTTGTGGTTTCCTCTGCAAACTCTGGCAGCAAATCCAGTGAATTATCCTTCAATGGCCTGTGGTTTTGTAACTCTCGGCATGCCAATGCCTCTTATGACTCATCAAAGCAATGAGGATGAGGCATCGATTACACCATTTCGAGGGGAGTGGTGGAAAGAAGCAGGATATTCGTTTCAGCCAACGTTTGGTAGGGAGGCTCCGGTCGCCAACCCTTTTCAGTCAGAATCTAGAGATGTTGGCTTCAGAGCCAGATTTTCTGCAACAGATCGCATTTACTTGATCCTTCACTCCTGTCCAAGTTTATTCCTTTGCCCTGGGTGCAAGGAAAAGTTGCGTGTCTTCAAACTTTTTTCCCATGAAATCTGATTTTTGCTGCGGTCGCAGAAACTTGCTCCCAGGGTTGCAAAAAAAGGAAACCTCATGGTTCTGAAACCTTAGCATATGAGCCTGCTGTGGACACACCTTATTAAAGTGGCCTTTGCATTAACAGCTACCTCTAGTCCAACCCCTATCAACTGCGTCAAGACAACTCTCAGGGCATGTGCAGCATCGGCACTGGCAAAATCGGGGTGGCGGGGTTTGAGATGCGAGAAACCAATTCGATGGATACCCCAGGCCCCCAGGAAGGACACTGTAGCCATAGCCACAGCCCGTGCAACTGAGCCTATGTTGTCCTGCTGTCCAGGTACCAGACGGCCCCCGACGAAATCTCCATCTCCAGCAACTGCAGGTGCCATGGATCAGCAGTGAACAAAGTCACTGACAAAAAAACATTGTCTTGAACATGAGTGCTTCAGGACGCGCAAAAAGTCCCAAGAAAGGCTGGCACTCCAAGAATCTCACAGATTTCGTGATGATGCTTGAAAGAAACCAAGACCACTTTTGCAACAGTGCCATGGTGCAGGCTAGTCCAGAACGCTGATCTTCAGGCGGTTCGGAAAACGAACAGTTTGGCTCCGATGGCCCAGACAGCACAAGTAAGGTTAGTCATGAGTATATGGCATATAATTACATTATATACATGATTTATCATGATTTCTGTCACCAGACCTCACGCTCCTCGGAAACCGCTGAATTGGTGCAGGCTGAAAAGTCCAGCCTTTGCATCCTGCGGAGCAATGTTTCCTGAGACACTGACGCCGTCTGAGCGGAAAATGGAAGGCATGAGCAGCTATGGGCAGCTATGAGCAGCTTTTTCCTTCGAGTTTTCCAATGAACAATGAATCTGATTTTGGTGATAGTTTTGAGCTTTGAGTTTCCAGCAGTGACTGAGCAGATCCAATGGACGGCATTTCCGTGAGACCTTAAAACACGGCTCGGAGTACACTTGGCCCATGGGGCCATGTTTCAACGACGAAGTCTCCAGCTGACGCATGGCGCATGGTCTGCGGTTCTTCCGAGGTTCTTTGCCGAGGGTTTCGAAGGATGGGGAGCTGGACTGCGTCTGAAGTGCATCGACTGTCATGCGGGCGGGGAACCTGCACGCGTGGTGGTTGGAGGAGTCCCCCAGATATCAGGCACTATGCAAGAAAAACGAAATCTGATGATGCAGCCCAGACTTGATGCCCTGAGAAAGCTGTTGCTTTTGGAACCACGTGGCTACCCATGCCAAAATGCCAACTTTATTTTTCCGCCCTCAGGAGTTTTTCCAACTGCCGCATTTGGTGTTGTGATTGCTGAACAGGGGCGCGTATATCCTGCGATGAGTGGACACAATATGATGTGCGTTGCAACAGCTTTGTTGGAGACTGGAATGGTTCCAATGGTGGAACCCCTGACAGAGTTTGATTTGGAAACACCAGCCGGCCTTGTTGGAATACAAGCAAGATGCCAAAATGGCAAAGCTCTGCAGATAACTTTGCGAAACGTTCCGTCTTTTTGTCGCCCCAAAGACATGGATGTCGAGGTTGAAGTTCCAGAGATTGGCACTGTGCAACTAGACATTGCATATGGTGGCATGTTTTATGCTATTGTTGATGCCCAAAGGATCGATTTGCAACTTGTGCCAAGCAATGGTCGTGAAATCTGCAAGCTGGGAGAGATGATCAAGATTGCATGCAGGGAGCAGAATCCTGTGAATCACCCGGAGTTCGATTATCCAGGCTGTGACATTCTGGTCTTCACGGACAATCAACGGAGAGACGGGGATGCTATGAGGGGCCGAAATGCCGTTGTCATGTCGAATGGTAAGCTTAGTTGGGACAACCCTGAAAGCTGGACTGGAATGATCGATCGTTCTCCATGTGGAACGGGAACTTGTGCCGTTATGGCGCAAATGCACGCACGAGGACGCCTTGGATTGGAGGAAGACTTTGTGCACGAAAGCATCATCGGAAGCGAATTTGTTGGAAGACTCTTGGAGGAAGTCACAATTGGAGCTGCAGAACCTGTGAAAGCAGTTGTACCAACTATATCAGGAAGAGCTTGGATCACGCAGCACAGCGAAGTAATTTGTGATCCCAGTGATCCTTTCCCGCAAGGCTATACTGTAGCTGACATTTGGTCAGCAAGTGCAGATGATGCGTAAATATGCGTAAATAATCATGAGTCATTTTGCTTTCAAAGACAAGGCAAAGTGGACAAGCACCGCCGAATTAGCCGCGGTGTTGAGAGGACTTCTCGTTTGAGAGAAATAGGCATCCCGTCATGTGAGTTGCATGGGAGGCAGCGCCAGCATAGAAAGACTTCACACTCCTGCCTTGAAACTGAATTCATACTCGTAGCAGCTGTTTTGAAGTTTCCATGTGGTTTGTGACATGCAAAGAAGAGGTGTCTACAGTGTCTACACCACCGAAACACCAACCTCGACCTACCTACCTCTCAAACCTATGGCCACGAATATCGATCACCTGAAGACGAAAGCTGGTTGAGCTCCAACACGTTTTTTTTGACCAAGTGCTTCAATCTGATACATCCAATGTAAAGACAGTCAAACCACTGCCGTACAGCATGTTCCCTTGGGACTCTCAGCTGCACTGGGGGCATCGCTTGTTTCCCCAAGCGGTCAACCCTTGGTGTCACTTGGAGTTTCCAAGGCCGAACCGATTCCGTTGGAAACTCCCAAGTCTGGTGCCTAAGCACACTTGCCACTGTCAACTAGCCCTTAGCCGAGGAGTATTTTGAACATAGTGGAACTTAATAGTCGCAGCCTGTATAACGTGCCTTTAAGCTGGAGAGACTCTGACGAAGCAAAATTTGGAGCAGATCACCGGTGAGGCAGACGGAGTTGCCTGATGGTCCACTTCTAAGAATATTGATGAATATAGCACATGTAGCATCATGTAGCGCTGTAGCCTTAATGAACTCCTTGGCTCCCCAGGTGCTACAAGAAAACGTCGTTCTGGTCGACCAGGAACGGCCTGAAGCCCAAATGTTGAGCAGATGAGACTTGGGCATCGTGCCATTGTGCTAGGTGCGGATGCACTGGAAGCTGTTGCACCTTCTGCACAATGCCTGTCGATGCCTGCTGTTTTGTTTCATTAAATCAATACATGGCCGAAAATTTGTGTTTCTGACAATCTTTGCGATTTTTGTTGTGCTGGAGCTTCAGCTTCATTCCCAAGAAGTCAGGTCTTCTCATGATGGCTTTCTCCTCATTGTGTGATAATCTCCTTGTGCTCCGTGTTCTGCTTCCTGTCACCGTGATCTGGTTTTGTCACATACTGTATGTCTGTGCTAGATAAGATGATTTTTGTTGGAATGATTGTGATAGGGTAGTGTGCATATGTAGATGTGCTCTCATATATATATGTATATAATATCATATATATATATATATCATATCATATATATATATGATATTATCTATTATTTTATATAGAGATTGTTGTGACGTTTGATGTCGCCTTCGTGCTTCTCATTGCGAGTCAACTGGTCATTTGGTATAGTAGAACGTCGTCCAATGGTGTCCAGGTCCTGTCTGCGCTTCCAGGTTTTGTTGTGTGTTTCGTGATATTCCGATATTTATGTATCTGTGAAACCTGTATTTCCATCTTGGGATGTAGGGTGTGGTTGTTAAACTTTTGGGAGTCCCAGCCATTGTTGGATGATCATGTTTTGATGAGCCTACTGCGTGCAAGCACGCGCTCTCATGGTAACTACATCAGTGCTGCCGGGAATGCTTCTACTGACGGCGATTAAAATGACAATTATCTCTTACCATGATTATCATCATGACGTTGATGGTGACCAGTATGATGATGATTTTGATTATGATGATCATGATGGTAGTGGTAGTGATGACTGATGACATACAGCTGCAACAATGATGTCTCAGTTTTTCCGCTCCAAGGCGACACTCCCAGCTGCTCGGCGTCGGAGGACGCCACAATCTCAGGGTACCGAGCCACAAAAATTGATCTGCGGTATCAAACCAGCCATTGTCTGAGGATTAATACATATTAATAATATTAATACTGTAATTTTGACTCCCAGACAACTGTCATTTCACCAAGATCTCTGAAAGGGGCGGTATATATATATATATAGCTTGTTCACGTTCAAGAACTTGCGAAAGCTCACACATTCTGGCTGAAGAAGGAAGGATTATTTCACATTATCTCACTAGACATGGAAACTAGCGCACTGTGGGGAGCATGGCAAACAAACTTCAAACCCATGAAAGCATTTGCTGTATAGGACTATCATCTGTGGAAAGAAGTCATTTGCGTAAGCAAGATGGCGGTTTGAAGCTTCGGACCAATTCCAAGGGCCTCTTCGAATTGGCGTCCAGCATCAGGATGGGCCAAGAGGAGCCGAGGGTCTGAGATTGGAAGGGTTTGGAGTTGGGTTGGAGTTGTTTGTTCTTTTTATTTCGGACACAAACAAGCCAGAGCCACCAGTCCGAGAGCAATGAGGACAGCTGGTGCAGCACCTGCTAGTCGGCCAACATCTGCTACTTTGCTCTCCCAGCCATCATACTCTCACACTGGAAAGGCACTTGTAGATTCGTAGATGCAGCAACTGCACGAAAGTTCAGACGAGCTTGCCAATGCCTTGTTCAGGTGCCCATGAACAATGATGGTTTCATGGTGAGGCCCTACCCACAGAAGTCAGAAGCAAACTGACGGACTCCAATCAAGGGACTCAGACAAGCGCGTCTGACTTTTAAGGCTTGGAACCGAAGCTGGTTTCCGTGGCAGGCCTCCTGAATGACAGCACCAATATGTTCACAAGCTCTGCTGATTGGAACATGACAAGTATGGCTACTGACAGGTGGTATTGCGGACGCATCCTGGATCCTTCTGAAGTGCGCATCACAGCCTCTTTAAGCTTTGGCGAGGAATGTGGGACGACCTGTGAACCCCTGAAGGTTCCAGGAGCCAGCGATCAATGCGGTCCAGAGGGAGGGTCCGGCCAGACATGAAGCATTCGCAGTGTTTCAGCCCCTCTGCTGTGAATTGGCAAGGCCGCAGTGCCGTTCCTGTGCAGAATTCCAGAAGCGCTATGAGGCTAAAGAGTTGCTGCCAAATAAGCGGTTTTAATTCAACTATCTTAGCTCTTTTTGATCCACTGATCCTGTCAGCCTGATCTCAATGACGACGGCTTTCCCGTCAAGCGCAGTACAAGCTCCAAAGCATGCCTGCATCTCAATCATCAAATCCTTTGATATTTTTCTAAGTTTCTTGTTGCGGAGTCAGCGCAGTGTGTGGATTTTGCATGATTTTGCTTCGTGATCGTTTCAAAGCACAGTGGATTCAGCGGATTCAGCGGATTCAGTGGATTCAGTGGATTCAGGCTTTAAATTCTACTGCGGAAGGCCCGCACTTTCTGGAGTGCTTCATATGCTTCATGTGCTTCATGTGCTTTAGCCAACGACTTTTTGCGTCGAGGATGCATCATGCTGTGCCCATGCATGCAGGAATGGTGTTGTGGCTGGTGTGAGTCCCAGATGCCATGACCGAAAATGGTCGTCGTGAGAGTCGTGAGCCCTGCTCCTTCTGAAAATCGAAACGTGCACTTCTGGTGGAAGGCACAGGTGGCCAATGCGGTCCGATGGAGGGGCGCGCAGACTTGTTGTGGGACATGACACGTTTTGTGTTGAATCGGTGTGTGAAGATAGATTCTCGTGGTCAGGCCTCAGTGTCCTTCATGCCAGAGATTGCAGGAGTAGGATGCCAAGTGAATCAGTGGCGTGCCTCATCCAGATTCTTGGCAGCTCTGAAAGGTAGGCAGAAGGCCCAGATACTGCTGCAGTGGGGATGTACTCTATCCGTATCCCTGATCAGGTCTTTTCAGGTTGCTTGGACTTGCACTTTTGAGCAGCTGAGTCCATATTATCACTGTGAAGACTTTGATGATGTTGTTAACTTATGTTAACTTAGGATTTAACGCATTTAACGCCTTTTCCCGGAGACTGGCATATCAGCATACCTACCTCAGCTCTTGGAAGGGTGCCCGGCCGCCCGCTGAGGCGTTCTACATCAACGATGAAGGATGCCAGCTTCGGCCTGGAAAGACCAGAGGCCTGAACCTCAAATGCGGTTTCGCCCCAATTTTTCAATCCCAAAGTCCCAAAGGGCCATCAACTGTTGAGAACTTGCAACTGGGTCATCTCGCAGCGTTGCGTCTGACACATGTAAAAACGAGGCATGTTTTCTCTCCCATGCTTGTTCCAGACCATTCCAGACTTATTCGAACCCTTATCCTTGAGAGATTCAATGCAGCAGGGATCTGGGAACACTTGAGACAAGTTCAAGGATCCTGATGCCATACACCGGCCAGGCTTTTGCGGAACATACTATTGCGGTAGGGTGCTGGGTGTGCAAGCGATTCCTGGTTCCGACGGCTGGGAACTTAGGGGTACTGTACCCATGGGGCATCCAGATCCGCTGCTGGCGTAGCAGCCAGTGGGCCTAGCATTCCTCTCAGGCCGCTGCGGGCCTATCGATGGACCCCAATGCAGTTCCTGTAAGAGATTTCAAGCCACGCAGCAGGCCAAGCCCATCCAACCCTTTGTTCAAGAAATCCGATTTGAATTGGCAGAGAAATTCAGCTTCACAAAGGCACAAAGGTTTTTTGCATTGAATTGCTTTCTGCCATTGATGTGGAGGTCTGGGTTGATGAAGAACCCCAACCTAGACAACATGGACAACCACAAGCCCCGAGAGTTGCATGGATGCATTGTAGACACATTCATTGAACTACATGTTTTTGTAGGACGTTTTGGATCGTTTTGGTGTCTTTCAGTGAGTGGGGAGGTTGAAGTGGATAGCAGAGGGCGTGGGGCACTGCCGAAATCTAAGAACGCATTGAGGTCAAGAGGGAAAGAGAGGAGAGTGTCCAGAGGGACAAATCTTCGCGGGAGAAAAAGAGCAAGGATAGCAAGGCACGTAAGTCCAAGTCATCACAGATGGTATTGACCTCAGCAAAGCGGTGCAGCATGTATCACAGGATATAACAGGCTGCCATGATTTCTCTCACACTTCTGGATTGGTGTTTTTTTAAGGTCAAATCCGAACAAGAGGCTCCTGATGACACCCTGACCACACATTTTTCAAACTGTTTATGTCATACCGAGGAATGTAAATGTTTGACCTGCGCGAACTTGAAACCACGTGCATTTGATGATGAGATTGCTGAGTGGTGCGATGACAGTATGATTTTCTGGTGTGTCCGTCATTCGGATGTTGTATCCCTTCCTTTCGTTCATCATCCATGATCAGTACTTGCTATCAACATGTTGATTTGAGAGGCTGAAAAAGAGGCTCAGAAGTATCGAGAGGAGGCCATGGGCTTCTAGCCAGAGAAATGTGCAATGAGAAATGCAACATGCATCGACATGCGAGATGCTGAGTAAAGGTCAATAAAGAAGAATGTTTTATGTATATTATAATACATACAGAGATATCATATCCAACATGTTCCCAATAATGCAGCGGTCTGTGGGCAGGTTCGCTCAGTGCGCTCAATGACTTCACGTGGTGGGGAGACTTCCCGCGGTGGAACGACTTCACGTGGAACGCTCCCAGGGATTCGGACCGTGAATGCCATGACCAGTCCTCGAAGCAGTCCCAGCCCGTCCATGACGGCAAGCCCTGCCAGTCCCAGTGCCTCTCCTTCGCGCAGCCCATCGGTGAGCGTCCCGAGAACCAGCGTCCCCAGCGTCCCCAGCGTCCCGCGCACTCGTGGGAAACAAAGTGTTCCAAGTCCTCCAGTTCCAGTGGTTCCACCTCGAAAGAAACCAGAGGCCGGGATCACAAGTGCTGTTTGGGATAAGGGTGAAATTCAGAAGGAAGCTCCAGATTCTCGAAATATATTGCTGCAATGGAAGGCGAATGTACCAATGAATCGGTCTGTGCCTCATCACTGCTTTTTTCGGCAGATCATGAAGAGGTAGGTCAGAAGTCATTCCATTTTTGCGCTGAATGCATGCCCAAGGACATTATGCTCTGAATGTGGTAAAGGCAATCCAAGCGGGCTTATGATGCCGCAGACTCAGGAGCGTTTTTTGCAGATTACCAGTCACCAGTCCATAGTTTCATCGACAGACTTCACTGAGTTTAGCTATGGCAGCTGGGAGTTGGACCCTGCACAAGTTACCTAACATGTAGCTTTAGGTTGCTTTAGGATGCTTTAGGATGGACATGGATAGACTTCTACCACTTGTATACCGCTTATACCATCCTTAGTCCCCGTGGTAACCATGGTGCCCTTCCTGTCGCATGGCGGGAAACTCAAGGCCAGAGTACAGCATGAAGGAAACCATATATGATACGGTACAATGTACCAGGTACATGCGTACAAATTCGTACAAACCAAAACCATCCTGACAAAAGTTGGCTACATCCTACATCCTTAGTATTGTAATGTATTGTATTACACACTTAAAAAACATCTTCAGCATGATACTAATGCGCCATCGTGTGATATAGGTCTAAATGAGATGACACGAGGTGATGTGGGGAGAAAAGGATTCAAAGGATTCAAAACGACAGAAGAGAAAGTTTTTACGTGCGGTATAGGAATAGAGACTGATGAGATGCAGAGAGATGCAGAGAGTAGAGCATCAAACTACAGCGTAACACAACAGCAATGATAGAGCACTTCTGCAGTCACAGAAGAGAAAATAGCACACAACAGACTGGAATAAACCTTTGCACAAGGCAACATGACTTCTCCCGAAATGGTGGACTGCGCGATTGCATGGACCGGAGAACATTTACACAGACATGCCAGTTGAACTACACAGACATGCCAGTTGAACTACACAGACATGCCAGTTGAACATCATATGATAAACAAGGCTCTAACTTGACAGGAGAGGTAATGCATGACCCGATTTTAGTATGAACAGACTAAATCAGACTCTTGACGCATTCACAAACTTTCACAAACTTTCACAGGGGAACTTCGTGTTTCTTCAGAGGGGATTTCGGGAACTGATTGGAACATGAACACCTTCCAATTTGCTCAAAAGGTGTGGCATGATGGGGCCCGGTTGCAGAATTGCAACACATAAACGCCTTCCTCTCAGACAGGAGGGGGATCTTTGCAGCAAAAGGAGTGAAAGGTGAATGAACTCCCAGCTCAAGAATTTTTCGAGAATGGACAGAGACTTTGGATTTGATTCACACTTGCACTACAAAGACTTCAGTCATTGTAAGCCAGCCGTACCAATCATTTTTGGCTGCCATCATTCTCCAGCCCTTGCAGCTTGGTGAGGTTGTTGCCGTCCACCCCTGAAGGAAGTCCCAGAGGGCGATTGGAACTCAGTGCTGACGGAGGAGGAATGGGTGACGAAATCAACGCCGCAAGGAACCCTTGGCAACTTTAGAGACATTGAATGACATTGAGACATTTAGACATTGAGGTAGAATCAGGTAGAATCAGGTAGAATTAAGACACAGAACATGAAGAACCGAGACGCTGTGACCCTTGACACAGACTTGAGACCCTTGTCCAAGGACTGGTTTTGCGAGGTTTGCCGAGCGAATCCTCAGAGGTGCCTTGGATGTGCCTTGGAGCATGCCCCTGGCATCCCCCGCGTCGCGGCAAGGCACGCCCTGCATTGCTCCGTCTGTGGCCTTTGTGACAATCCAGCACCTTGTCAGCATTGTCAGCAGGGAGGAAAGGTCGCAAGTTCTTTGCACCATTGAAATCCATGAGGATCTCTGAAAATCCTCATCACATTATTCACATTTTTCACCAGTACAAGAGGACACTTTTGGGCACTGACTTGGACAGCAAAGTTTGTCAGGGGGAGCTGTTGCTGCTGGGAGCTGAGCTTGGGAGCCAACACGTCAACCATCCTCAACCTTTGAATGGACATTGCAGTCAAACAACATCAAACAACTCTGGCTAGGTGTGATATGGGTGGCAAAGATTGCCACAGAGCAACGCACCTTCGCCACTGGACAGCATGACGTCAGTTTCAAGGGATTGAACCAATATGTGCAATCAGTGTGTGCTATCAAACAGGTTGCTGCAGCCCACCCTTGAAAGTGGTGCCAGCGGGAGATCTGAACTTAGTCGAAGGCTGCAACATTTGTTCAAAAGCAAATTGCAAACGCCGGGAGTCAGAACCCTTCGTTGCAGCTGCAAGGACTGGTATTGCGCCATATGTGCAAAGGGGCCTGGTGCAGCCAACAGGTTCTGAGTTTCTCCAGCAAACCAAAGAATGAAACTTGCGGTGTAGCTGCTCTGGAAACCGTGCAATGCATGTATACATACATATATATATATATATGTATATATAAATTATATATATATATGTTTGCGATAAGATGGTGACTCGCAAACTTGAGCCCTGAAGAAAATCAGGATATCATTTGTCATCAAAGCATTCCCCAAGGACACTTTCTGGACTTGCTGCCATCAACACTTTGAAATTGCATCCAACTGTGCAAGGCCACCGCGAGCAGACAAACCAGCTCCAGCTTCCGTTGCGAGCTTTGATCGTTGGTGCGCGGAGAGATGTCTTGGGAACATGGACACTCATTGGCTCGGCTGCCTCAAGGCTGTGACAAGTGCCCCGTCCAAGGCTCGTCCACTGTGTATTTCAAATGTCACCAATCTGATTCTGCTCACTCAGTTTGCTTGAAATTGGTGCATGATGAATGCAAAGATGAACAAAATGCTCCTCTTGTCGACGAGATTTTCAACATTCTGGTGCAGGGCGCTGGCAAGGGCAAGAAAGGCATGTTCTGTAGCTGAAACTGGGTAGCTGAAACTGGGTAGCTGAAACTGGGCGTCATTTCCATAAGGATTGAACATCGCACGGAATTAAACCAGCTCATGCGAGCTTTTGCAGGCAGTGGCGCAAGCTTTGGCGATGCTTTGAAGGCACCCCAGTTAACTAGCAGCAGAAAACACCATGCAAGCCAAATTTGGTTATGAAAAGACTGGAGTATATAGAGAATTTAAGGGATTTGAATCAAACTGAGATTTGCATCTCTGCATATCTCTGCCAGTTTCATTGATTCAGGTGGCTGCTGCAACTCGCAGCCAGGCTCCGTCTGGCCAGGCGACCTTTAAGAGGAATGTGTTTGATGATCCGTGATCTTCTCATGTGGGTCAGTGACAGGCACCGACTCCATCAACCTCCCAGCGAACACCGCCAAAGACTTGGTCGTTTTTTTGATGCAACGCAGCTTCGCAGCTTGCTTCATGAAATTCAAAACTTACCAATCAGATTGAGGTATTGCTCATAAGACTATATGATTTCAATTTTTTTGTTAGCCGAGGCGTACGTTGGATTGACGGAATAATGCATAAATATTCAAAAATATTAATTCGGAAAAAATAATCTCAATAAAAATATCTTAATCGAAAAACTATTTTAAAAAATCTGAATTGACATATAATTTGGGAAACGGTAAAATTGGAAAAAAAATAATTTAAATCTAAATTTTTTAATTAAATAAAATTTAAATAATTAAATTATTTAAAATTAAGGAATTTAATAAATAAAAAATTAAAATTTATTTTATTTTATTTTTTAAATATATATTGAATATATATATATCGGTATGAATTTGGTTTAGGATTTTGGGGATTAATATTTAAAAAAAATATTGATTTTTTATTTAACAAAAAAAAATAAATTTATTGAATTTTTAGAATAATTTTTGGGTACCTTTGAATTTGTAAAAAAAATGTTTTTTTGGGTAATTTAGATATTTAATATTTAGAAGTATAATTTAAGGATTTTTTGGGAATATATTTATAATTTTTAAAATAATTTTTAATTTTTTTGAAAAATATTGATAAAATATTTTATTTTATTTTAGAGGTAATTATTTTTTTTCGAAATGGAATGGAAATTTGAGATTTTAGAAAAAAAAAAATAATGATTTGAAATAATTTTTAATATATTTAATTTTGTAATTTTAAAATTATATAATATATATAGGATATGATTTGTTTAAAATATTTAAATTGGTTTGATATTTGTTATAAATATTTTTTGGAATTTTAATTTATATAATTTAAATTTTCTCCTGGAAAATTATAGGTTTTAATTTGACCAGGTAAATTAGTATAGGGATTTATTTTATTTATATTATATAATTATAATTAATAATTATTGGGAAATAATTATGGGTAATAATTTTGCGATTTTGTAAGAATATTGATGAATAATGGCTTTGAAAAACGATAATTTTGGGAAATAGGTTTAGAAAATAATTTTAGAATA